CCAACTGGGCTGGCGACCTCGACACGCGGCGTTCGACAACAGGATACGATTTCTTCCTGAACGGAAGCGTGATATCGTGGAATTCGAAGCGTCAACCAACGGTCGCGACCTCACGTACTGAAGCAGAGTCCATGAGACTGTACAGCGCGACGCAGGAAGCAGTTTGGCTTCGAGGTCTGCTCAAGGACCTGAACTACTGTGCCAAGAACACGACGATGATTTTTCAAGACAATCAAGGTTGCATCGCGTTGGCCAAGAATCCTGTGTACCACTCGCGCACGAAGCACATCGACATCAAATTTCACTTTTTGCGTGAAAAGGTTGCAAGTGCAGTGATCGCGCTAGAGTTCAAGCCAACAGAAGAAATGGTCGCGGATAGATTCACCAAGGCACTTCCAAGAGACAAGTACAGCAAGTTCATCACGGGTCTGTGCATGGCGGTGTAGGGCGCACACGTCGCACGCACATCAAGGGGGAGTGTTAGCGAGTGATGATGCGGCGACTTGTGCAGGGTGTACATTACATATCTGTATTAGTTGTATTGTTCTTTGGCAGGTTTATATTGTGGGATGTTAGCGGTGACGATGTATTGGATTGGCCCAGTCGTTAAGGAAGAGGGATTCACAGTGTGTGCGGGTTCTATCCCCGCCGTGTTCAAGTAAATTGTGACTGACACTCACGACCTGGTGTTTGGGGTTCACCAGAACTGTGCCCCCCCCCCGCAGTTACGTCCCCCACCCACGCAATCGTCTTCATTCTGCATATGACACAGCAGAGTTTTTACGAAAGGTATTTACGAGACATAATTACCCAGTGATAGGTAAAACAGAAAGCGGTGGAGACAGGGCACGATATAGGTGGCTGAGAGCCACCGGCTACTACTAGCCATTCGTTTTCGAAGCTAGTAACCTTCTGAATACAACTCTTTATTCGGTTTTCATCCCCGGCCGTAAGCCATCTTCTTCTTAGCATCAGCTCCGCAACCTAGTTAAATTTAGCACACGTTAAATTTACTTGTCGGACGTGAGGTTCTCGTCTCTATTTGAATCCTCGGAAGAAGGATCGCATTCATTCATTTGGATGTTTTGGCAGCCATTTTGAGAGAGATCGACAGACTGGTGTTTACATACGCTGCTCTGTTTCGGTTCGATGACCGTGACCCTCTGTGTGATGCCCAACGAAATCACTACACCGGTGTAGCTGCTACGAAGTAAAAGCGGGTGTAGTAGTCACATGTGTTGATGAGAGAGGAACGGAATTGAGGTGGACTGCGAAAGGCTATCCGGATAATGCGGACATGCGTGCTAATGTCGTGTTGGTCCTTATGGACCAGCTTGCTCACACACAGGGCTATAGCTACTACTGAAGGCTGCACTCAGCCGATAAACGTATTACAGCCGTACCTCAGGACCCGGAGGTTTCAGTCAAGTAGACAACGCTTCAGGAAATCTGTCATCGGTACAAGTCGAATAGTAGACGCTTTATGATTACCGTTCATGGTATAGGTCCCATAAATAGTGCAATGGAAAGTCTTGTGGAAATCAAAGCTTCTCAATTTTTGTTGCGAGTGCGTACTGATTCGCTCGCCATGGATTGAGTTTTGCATCATTGATAATTTCAGGTTATTATTGCTTACCTGTCAGGTCTTGTAAAAAGAGAATGTGCTACAATGTCCATTTTAACCGTCACAAATTTTGTTGCACTCGTTTGATGGTCTAGGCTAAACACAGCATTAATTTCGGATGTTTTTAATTTGATTAAATACCAAAAAAAATTGGCAACCAAAAATGTTCAAAAAAGGTGTGCTCTGTAACTATGACAAGTATACGTGAATTGCTGTAACTTTTTACTTAAATGTAGACTCTAAAACCTCTATGTGAAGAGTTTCAAGACTAGGTTTCGCTGTTTTCATGAGCCAAATTCTTAATTAGCTCTAATTTCATCGAGCGTGCCACACATACCAATCAGATACGACGAAAGACCGCAACACCATCTCACTACAAAAAAAAACCAACAGCTCGCATCTGGAGGGTACGGATCTGTTAAGGTTATCGATCCAAGTCATTTATCGTCACGAAGGCAAAAAGGTCGGTGAGAGAAAAGATATTGAAGTACGCATTTTCTGCGTCGCCGGATATCGAATCCCGACCTCATCCGTGAGAAGGAAAAACCATTAGACCAACAACCCTCGCAACTAGAAAACGTGGTAGCACCTTCACATCAACACATAATTGTCGATCAACCCCGTACAATCAACTGCTTCTATGCAAAGCATTAGAATCATTTACTCACTGACTACGATAAATGCAATACGGATAGTCTATGTGTGTCTGGTCACAGAAATGTCGCACAATTCTCCCTTTTCTGAGCAAACATCTCATAATTGCTGTATAGACTAGTCAAAAACTTGAGAGATCTTCGTCTTAATTAGGCTAGTACACCGTTATCTCTAAATGACCACCAAGTATTAGTCGTGAAGCAGTTACGCACAAAAAACTGGGCTAGACAGCTGTCTTAGTTGGGCGACCCTAAATTGTTGACAACCTTGGTCTTAGGGGTGAAATTGACGCTGTCCTCAGAAATAAACTGTCGCTAAATCAAATGTCGCAAAAAAGGTGCTGTAAATAATTAGTTTCTTGCTCAAGTCTTCTGCAAGTACGCAACACCCACTATGGATGTAAGTATACCAAACACGCAGGCAGGCTAAAGATCTGCTCGTTCAAATGGCGAGAGCAGGTGCTTTTTGTGTCCCTGGTAGAGTTCTAATATTAGTATCGTTACCGCATGTATTCTTGTGTAATCATTAAACCAGTATCTCTCAATGCCAAAATGTGCATGAATGGTTATTAGCTCATGATGTTCTTTGTCTATCTTCCATTTCAATAAACTTAGTTCTACAACGCTATCCGCGCGGCACTCGTACCATATCCTTAGCCAGATCTATTGTCCCATTAATTTAGGGGAGTGGGGTTTGCTCATTTTAGGAGGCGATCCCGACCCTCCACTGGTGCCCAGACAACTGACTAACAGAGGGGGTGCTCCGATTCTGCTTGCACTTGCATCCGCCTTGCCTCGTGCACACGCCGGTTGGGCGGGTTGCACCCTTTTAGGTGAATTTAACTCGATGCTGAACTTGACCGTCCTCGAGACTGGTGTTGATCGGGTGTAAATTCCTCACCCGATCGCGTGCTCTTGGTTGGCGCTATCCTAGAGTCGCCGCGATCAGCCTTGATCGCCATGTGCCAGAAATGGGGTACTTGATTCGCGAGCCTTCTGACCACTTGAGCCGTCTCGCGATGTTTACTTCGACTAGTACGGGTGCCTGTGTCCGATCGCAGTTGAGGTGTGTTGAGAGTCCTCGCACTCCTGACCAAATAGCTCCAGGAGCGATCTTTCCGTCCTTGGTGTCGAATTTTTCTGACGTCGAGCGGCCAAAATATCAAACTTTAAAGAAAAACGACACGTTCATGCTTAGAAGCAAATTGAAGTCTCTTTAATTTTAACCCCCCATACGACCAAAAACAAATCTATAACCACGCTTACTCCGTATGTCAGGGTTACCCGCCACATGTCTTCTCAACGCCGAATGGATTTGCAATCCTTCTATAATATGTAACCCACGCCAGATTGCGGTCCCTGATCGCGTCCACTGATTGCGGTCCTTTGATCGCGGTCCACCGATCGCGGTACTATGATATTTCTACAGTCCAGGACTATGCGGACTGGATGGGGTTGAGCCCTTTGGTTCCTCACAACGGCTACATTTAGATAGCTGGCTATCAACCACGAGCACTTCAGTCGATATAAACTTGTACTTAGCTAAATCGCCTAGGCTTTTGGACCCGATCTCGATCGGCTTTACCACAATCGCCCCTGCACAAATAGCCGATTCACAACATCCGGCTAACTTGTGCACGTGTTCCATCGTCATTTTCCGTTTTATTGTTAAACATGGCGTCCGCGTCGTCAGCATCGTCCATGACCCGACGTGCCTCGCCCGACGTGCCTTCCGCTAGTGACGCGTTACCTTACCCGGCTGGGTCCACCTTGACATCTACTAATACATCGCCTGGCACTTCGAATGATACCACTGCGGGTATAATATCAGTGCCATTCTTCCAACCTCTGATGACGATCAGCCACATGGAGTTCAGCCCCGCCCAAGTGATTTTATTAGCGACCGCTCGAGTCGAATTCCCGCTGATTGGTGATCAAGCGGCTGCGATTAAGATGCTCGCTGGTCTTTATCAGCGGATCGCATCTCAGCAAGACTTTGTCGATCGATACCGCGATCTGGAGCAATATTTGAGAGAGCAGACCCGTCGAGGTGATCATTTCAAGTAAGAGCTCCGTTCCCTGGCTGGGTTGGCCTCTTTATTTGTGACTTTCGTACAAGTCCACTATGATCGGCTTCGCTTGGACCTCGAAGGTGCGCGCGCGAAGGCCGCCTTACTCCGGGAGAAAGTCTTCGCGAATCAGTATCACGAGCAGCAAATTAATGATTTGAAGTTGAAGATTTTAAAGGCAACTCGATCGCTTCATGCTTCACAGGAACGTCATGATCAGAAGCTGACAGCCATGCGATAGCACATGGAATAGGTGATGCCCGAATGCATTTTGCACTCACTCAAGATACCGCAAGACTCCAAAAGGTTTATTAGAAGAAAGCCCGAACCAAGGCTGGGTTTCTCAGGCCCAGACCGAGGATTGGCTGTCTGTTTAATGTACTTGCGTCACATGGGGTAGAGCGCGATCAGTTTTACTTCGATTTCGCTGAAATTAAAGGCTACGGCGATCGGTTACGCTTTTCTCTCGCCTATCGGGATGGTTGAGTGGGCCGGCTTCAGACTGAGATTTTAAATCTAAAGTTAGAGCGTGATTTAGCATTGCGCGATCGGGATGCTCTTCGCACGAGTATCGCCTCATTCGCTACAAGTGTATTCGTCTCCCTTTCTTCCCATTCTGTCGCATCCCGTTCTAATGCATCGTGCGGAAAAGGATCAGCGAAGTCCACAGCCACCCGTGGCAAGGTTCCAGATCTTCGTTCCCGTTCTTTTTCCACGGAACAAAAGGGCCAAAACAAGATCTTCCTCTACTTTCGAATCCCGCCCGCAGTCGTCAGTCCAGCGGACATCAAAATCTTCGGCTTCGTCCGTGCCCGACATTTCCACTACGTATTATTCCCCGGGCAGGAATCTGAAGGACATAATTCTTCGTCCCCTCGTCCCCTCCGTCGTGTAACAACTGTCTCATATTCGGAGGAGGGGTAACACCTTTTTTGACCATTTCATAATTGACTACGTTTGGCTTCAGCGTGCGGCTAGAGAGGGTGACTGGCCAGTATGTGTCACCATATTCCTGGAGCTGTGTAGCTGATTCCGCCCACTTAATGGTTTATACCGCAATCACAGGAGCTCGTCCTGAGTCAAAATGTGTCGAGATCGGGGTTTCATCAAGTATGGGTTTTTTCAAAGTAAAGGCTAGCTGTAACGGAGCACCCTGAAGCTTGTACTGGTGATAGTACAAGCTACTTATTCTGATGACAGAATAAGGCGGTGCCTCGAAACTACCCGTACACTCGTACGTGCAGAGGAAGACGGTAAGAAGAAGCGAGTACTTGATTAAAGTAAAAAGTAGAACCGTATTTATCATAGTTAATGTCTGCAATAAATCCCTATTTTTCTTCATCTAACTATGTCTAAATACAAATGTGTAAATCAGTTATCTGCTCACCACTCATTTCGTGCGTCTGTCGTGGCGCGTCTTCGTTGGTTGATATAATGGCCTATATCAACCAATTAGGAACTACTTGGAAGTGCTACAGAATATTTGTCCTTATGACAATATTCTGAGAATATAACTCTTATAGTTACATTCTATTAACAATTTCTTATAAATTGTTATGTAACGATTCACCCCGTTACATCACCCCCCCTTAACCATCAGTCACTTCAGTTACTGATTGACGAAATGGATACTCGTCCCAAATCACTTGGGACGAGGTTTGCACTTGTTGGTCCGAGTCCACATTCCAACAGTTTCAACGCATGGTTAACAAGACCATGCGATGCGCGAGCAAGGCCGCCGAGAGCGCGTCCGCACGTCTCTGTGCGGACGCCGAAGCAGAAACCACAGCAACTGATGTCTCATCGGTTGCTGGAGCGACTCAGCCTATGTCACTTGGTGATGCAGGAGCTGGTCATGAAGACACTCATGTCTTCACAGAGTATGAGCTCGGTGTCTCATACTCTCCTGATACGGAAGACGGATCTGTATCGACGGCGATCGGATCCAAGCCGCCTGCCAAGTGTGGCATGGATGATGCTATGCGTCGTAGCATCTTTGGTTCATCTGATGAATCAGATGAACCATCGCCGAAGCGAAGGCGCTCGAGGTCGCGAGACTCGGGCGCTAATAATGGTGTCGCTTCTCCTATGGACACCACCTCGCAACGAGGTGCCAGTGCTTCTGTCGGCACGTCGCAGGAAGAGCGGGACCGCAATGTGTTGCGTCTCGCTCCTGAGAAGAAGGCATGGATGCCTCCCAAATCTGTCATGGATCACTTGTCGGCGACGACGAGTGATCGTTATCGAACACGATTGTTCGATTCGTCAAGGATCCATCACCTTGACCTCAGCGCGAAGAACTACCGCGCTGAGAATGAATTCCATATCGATGCTTTCTTTAGACATAGATGGTACAGTGGGAATCACAAGCGTGATGGTCCTTCACTGCTTCAGGCGTGGAACGCCTACATCCATAACCTTGAGGATGTAGGTCGTGACGCTTGGAACGACAAACTTATCAAAGCTCGTGATAAGTTTGAAAAGCGAACCTCTACAGGTGCACGCTACAAGCTGCATCGTCTGTATAGGAGGAAGGGATTAACCTGACTCTCATGGGGAGACTCGTGCCCGTGTTGTGTGAAAAACTCTGCATGAGCACCTAAGGAGGCTTACCTCCTTACTAACCCGTGGTGGGGCGTACGTATCTCTACTGAGATGTACGAGGGGATTGACAACCTGAAATCCCTTTACGACCGAGCCGGGAAGACTTTCTCCGGTGGTCCTTCTGCGGGACAGGATGTGCCGCAGAAGGTCGTACTGCTCAACCAGACCCAGTACGTACACCATCAGTTGAGAGCGGGGCTCCCAAGTATCCCAGGACGGGGGAAAGCCGCGCCACCGGACGAGATAACTCGTCCGACGTCCGTTCACGTCGCGGTGGTTCAACAGCTGCTCAACTAGATAGTGCTCGCCACCGCGAGAGCCCTTTAATGGAGGTGGTGGAGGAGATAAGACGCTCTCCGCACGATCATGGGGATCCGTGTGCTCCCGAGAGCTTCTTTGATCGCGTAACGCAAGGTTTACGCGACGATCTCGAACATGAGCGGGACAGGTGTCTCCAAATGGCGGACACTGTCTCGAAGAATCGAGCTGAGTTTGCATTTGCTCAGCTTGAGAACGAGAGATCTCTGACATCTCTTCGTGACGAGCTAAGGGTAGCTCGTGGGATTATTGATCGGTCTCGGGATGAGATAGCTGCTCTTCAGACCCTTGTCGATGCCCACCATCGGGAGCACAAGGCTCTCTGCGAGATGCTTGAGCGCAAGGGCGTTCTTCATCGGAAGAAGCAGCGTACTGATTGCTTGAGCGCAAGGGCGTTCTTCATTGGAAGAAGCAGCGAGATGCTTGAGCGCAAGGGCGTTCTTCATCGGAAGAAGGAGCGTACTGATGGTACGGCTTAAGCCGACCAACGCAAAACGTGGGATGCGTTCGCATCTTACGTGGTAACTCGATCGTGTATGCATTGCCTAGGCGGTGCAATACACGAAATGGGCCGATGTACCTGGGTAGTAGTTTACTGCTACCCAAGTTAGTCACCACATGCTTTGGTAAATTAACCGTAGACAGTAGGACTAAGTCGCCTTCATTAAACAAAAGAGTTTTTGCCCTTCCATTCTTGTCAGCGTTTTGATTTTGCTTATCCACCGCTTCGGCGATGGAATCTTGCACAAAACGAACTACCATTTCACGAGCCAGTATTATCGCATCTGATGACTCGTTAGCTTCAGTGCGCTGTGAGTTCACTGCAGCAACATCAACCTTTTCTTCAGTGAGGGCTTCCGCACTCTCACTGGCATCATCTTCTTCGACATCGTTGTTATCGATATAGGCATCAAACGCAATGACCTCATCGTCAGAGCGTGATGAGCGTGAACCAAATCGGTTTTTAGCTCGCGCGAGTCCCTCCCCCCCCTTAAACCAGAGTTACACTCTAGTAAGGTGGGTACACGCGGATGGCGTAAGCCATTCACGTAAAACGGTGTATGTGTCGTGGACGCATGCACCGAGTTGTTAATGGCAAACTCTACCATTGGTAAAAACTCACTCCAACTCTTAATAGGAGTGTATGTATCCTCGAAGTATCTCTTCAAGGACACGATTGGCACATTCCGTCTGACCATCTGACTCTGGATGATCGGATGCCGACATCTTCAAGCGCGTTCCGAGTAATTTGAACACGAAACGACAGAAATCAGCAGTGCATCGTGGATCTCTGTCTGATACGAGTTCACGGGACAACCCATGAAGTCGGAAGATGGTGTCGATAAAGACAAAAGCACAGCCTCTTGCCGTGATTGTCTCTGGTACAGCCACAAGGTGTACCATTTTGCTGAAACTGTCAACAAATACGAGAATACCCGTATTCCCGCGTGCGTCTTTGGGTAACCCGAAGACGAAATCCATTGAGATGGATTCCCAGCACTCAGCCGGAACCGGTAGAGGCTGTAAAGGTGCACGCAGTGAAGTACTTGACTTCACTCGTTGGCAGACTTCGTATGCGCGAACATACTTTCGCACGAACTGATACTGGCGGGGCCAGTAAAAGTCTCGACTCACAGTGAGATATGTTTTCTCTCGGCCCCGATGTCCTCCTATAGGAGCATCGTGATACTCGAACATGATCCGCAAACGTAGATCAGTATCATCTGGAATGACAACACGTGGTGTGTCACCAGAAACGGCTGTATAACACAGTAAACAGTTGCGAGTAGTGTATCGATCTGATGCAGATCGATACGCAGACGACAATCGTTTCAACGATTCTCGAGATGGCTGTGAGAGATGAGTCAACAACTTCACAATCTCACCATCTTGGGCGTATGCCCGCCTCACATCATCACACAACGTTGTAGATGGGACTGAGGACGTCATAACCACAGCAGTGACTGTCTCACTGTTGGGTTTCGCGACTGTTTCAAAGTCGGGACGACGTGAGAGTGCATCAGCGACGACATTAAGTCGTCCTGGTTTGTACTCGACCGTAAAGTTGTATTCCGCAAAGAATGACAACCATCGCGCCATTCGTTGTGAAAGGTGCGGGCTGTTCACTGCCGTGCGTAATGACGCATGGTCAGTGTAAACAATGAAGGGTCTATCTCCTAATAGATAGAATCTGAACTTCGCGAGTGCATACTTCATGGCAAGGAGTTCCTTGTCATGCACTGGATAGTTCCGCTCAGCTGGTTGCAGCTGACGCGACTGATAGCAGACGACGCGTTCAACGCCTTCAAGATCGTACTGCATTAATGCACAGCCGATTGCGAAATCGCTGGCATCACAGACCACATGAAATGGCCTGTCCTGATCGGCAATTGCTAGGACTGGGGATTGTATAAAGCTCTTCTTGATACCATTAAAGGAGCGCTGACATTCAGCGTTCCATAACCACCTCTCGTTCTTTTTCAACAAACGACGGAGGTGTACAGTCATCTCGGCGTAATTGCGTGAATACTTATGCAAATACGCCGCTAGACCAAGGAATTTTCGAAGACCTTTGACATCAACCGGCACAGGCCAGTCGGTGATCGCCTTGATCTTTTCGGGATCAGGACGCACACCGTTCTTACCAACGATGCACCCAAGAAGTGGTATTTCGCTTGCGGCAAATATACACTTCTTGAGGTTTGCATACAATTGATGCTTTCGCATGATTGTAAGAACCTGTCGGACGTGGTACCTGTGAACCTCAACGTCCGACTTTCTATCCGTAGCTCGACTATGGATGAGTACGTCATCGAAATAACTCGGCGCGAATTCTCGTACTGGTCTCAACAGATGAGATACACATGTGTTGAACGTGGCAGGGGCATTACTAAGCCCTTGTGGCATTACTAGCCATTCCCAGAGCATGCCACTAGGCGTGCTAACTGCGGTATAGGGTACATCCCGTTCTCGCATAAGGATTTGATAGAAGCCATCAAACAAATCCATGGACGAAAAGATGGTACTCTTTGACATACCATCAATGATTACGTCCTTCCTTGGTATCGGCGTCTGAGCCGGTACCGCTGCAGCATTCAACTTGTTAAATGCATGCAGTATCCGCCACCCTCCTGTTGGTTTTCGCACACAGAAGGTCGGAGAGCTATGTGGGGAAGTTGATTACCTCACATGGCCCGCAGCTGAACGATCGGCAAAGAACTTGTCGATCACAAGTACTTGTTCACGAGGCAGTGGCCACTGCTTCATGACACAGTACTTCGAGCCTGGTTTAAGCTCGACCTCGTGTTGAATACCTTTATCCTTCGGTAATTCGCACGGAACAGTTTCAGGGAATACATCCTTAAATTCAACCAAATCTTCATAGAGAGGATTTGTCTTGAGCGATTCCCACGATTGGGAGTCATATCGCTCAATTCGTGCCTGATCATCTAGGACACTCTCGTCCATCGATGAACTACCGAGAACTCTCTCGTTCTCAGTAAACACTGTTACTAACCTAATGTCGGTTACACACTCGTCGTCAGCGACGAGTACGCAGATCTGCTTGACTTTGCCACTACGCAGATCACGCAAGAACCTTTTATGTTCGAGCGTTGGCAACTGAGTGATCTCCGAAGTCAACTTCGGAGGCGCAATCAGATCAAGTGAATAAGCGCCTACGCTTGATCCGTCATTGACGAGGACATTCAATGTCTCTGTCATTTCCTGGGGACTTATTCCCTCAGGCTTCGAAGGACTTATTCCTTCGTCTTCCCGGGGACTTATTCCCGCGGGTTTCGGGGAACTTATTTCTGCCGTATTTGTAATCTTGGGACTTATTCCATTTACTTCCTCTAGCTGGGGTTGCACAACCACAGCGAGATCCTCTACGAAAGACCCTCCAGTCAATCTAGGATTATCGTTTCGCTTAACCCGATCGATCGATAATTTCTCTTTTAGATTTTCCCCGCTAGGGATACATCTTTGGCCCGGTCCACTCGACTTATTCGAGTAGTGGACCTTCGGCGCAGCCTGTGTTTCCTCACAGCCGCCGGAACTTTGCTCCGAAGTGTAACCGTGTGGTACACTAACGTTTTGTGCAGTCTTACTAACGACCGTACCACGAGCGAGGCCATCGCACTCACTCGTAGTACATCCACACGCTTGTGGACGCTCCAAAACGTTCGTCAGATGGCCATCTGATGAACAAGCGGCAGGCATCGTTACTGTTCGATGTTGCCAGTTTACCCGTGGTTCGTACCTTCTGAGCCACGGTATTCCAAGGATGACATCAAATTTGTCATCTAAATCCAATACGATAAAGTCATCGTCATATTGGGTATCTTCTAGCGTATAGTGGATCTTCACTATACGCTTCATGACGGTTAAAGATGCGCCTGTCGCAAGACGTACCGTCATCCTCGTAAGAGGTGTGTCACATACACTGAACTTGAAGTGACCATCTTCAAGCGATTGGCGTCGCACAAAATTGTTGGACGCCCCACAATCGACTAGAGCTCGAAGAGACAACTTAGTCGTCACTTCGAGTTTCAAGGTAATGGGTGAGATCTCATTACCTAGAGCAGCAACGCACAACGTTTGTGTGTTGGGAGCAACCTTCATCAAGAGGCCTACAAATTCTCTTGACGTTGCTGCACCAGTAGGGTGCTCCGCACCTACTGATCCTGTCCGTTTTTTGACGGTCCATCCCGTTGTTGCGTCTTTGCACCAACAGCGGACCCTCGTCCCTGCCCCTTTCTCATGGGTGGACGGTCACTACGCCCAGTGTCGCGAGACACTGGACGAGGGGCACTACACTCGTAAGCGTAGTGTCCTGTCTTTTGACATCTGTTGCATCTCTGCAACTTCTTGTAGCCTGTAGAGCGAGCCTTCTCGCTCTCTACATAACAGCGTTTCATCGGCTCTGGACCTCCGTTGTCATATCGTCTCGGTTGACGATATGATGTCGAGCTGGCGCGAGCCTGTCTCAGACTGAAGTCTTCCTGCTCCGCAATGGAAATGGCTTGTTCTAGTGAATCTAGTTCAAGCCGGAACAGGTGAGTCTTGACGGGACCATCCGCAAGACCCTGCATGAACACCGAAACCAACGTGTGTTCATCAACCGGATTGGAACTTATACAACTCGTGAGATGTCGTATATGTTGAGCATAAGCGTGCACATCACGCTTACCCTGCTTGAGCTTCAATAGTTCGGTTCGAGCTCTGAACTCAGCTCTAGTTGGTTCAAACGTTTGTCTGAGCCGCGACTTGAAAACTTCTAACGACCCAAACCCATATGGGTCGTGCACCTTAAGACCCAGTGCCCAAGTCTTGGCACGTCCTGCCAGATTTGACTGGGCAAATGCAACTTGCATATCCCCGTCGTCGATGCGACGCGCCCTTATGGCGTCATCCAATTCGACGAACCATCTCAAGAGGGAGTCTTCTTCTACCCCCCTATACTTTGAGATGTCAATCT